GTAATCAAATAGTCAACTTTAAGTGGTGTTCAACAGGACTAACTACGTTTTCCATTTTTGCCCAGCCTAGTAATAGATGTCCTTTAAGATGCAAAGGTCTCGATCTTCCTACTTTGCAAACAAACTCCTAGCCATTATATTCACATACCGGCCTGGAGAAAATCCTATTTTTCATAGCGGCCGACTGACTACGCTATAAACTAACAGTACCGTGTTTGACGTGGGGCTCTCTGTCTTTAGTTGCAAAACATCGCTTCTGGACTGGTCTACGTCTATACCTGAGTCTCACCAACACTAATGAGCCGAAAGGCAGTTAAATAAAAAGTAATGGCCAAATCGGGTTTCGATTGTATTTTGAATGTATAAGCCAAGAATGAAGTTCCCATCGAATGTCAGATTTCTCTAAAATAACTTATAAACAATACAACGTATACTGCATGGCAACGAAGGTTGTTTATAAGTATGGAAGATAAAGCACTGCTTACATGTGATTGTTTTATGGTTGAATTAAAGAGGGGCAATCTCTGCGAATCTCGAACTACTTTTTCTGAACAAAGTAAAAGAAGGTTACAGCAGGATCGCCACTGGCTTCTATTCTGATAACGTCTCTAGCCACTGTGTCGCACCATCTCTCGGACCCCAGCCAGGGAGTCGAGAAGGACCAACAGAAGCCAGGCTGTACAAGGTCGGATTTACAACGCGTCGGTGAGAGTAGTTTTGCTCTGTGTTTGTGAAACCTGGCCTCTCCGAGTTGAGAATGTTAAACAACTATATGTGTTATCATCGTTGTCTCCGAAGGATTGATGACATCCAGTGGCAACACCATGTTAGTAGTGCAGAGGTTCAGCATCGTGTGTTCGGGCACAGAGACGATAAGTCTATTGCTGTCATTATCTTGAAACATCGACTTCGGTGGCTTGGACATGTTCTCCGAATGTCGTCCCAGAGAATTCCACGTCGTGCATTATTTGCCGACTCTAGAACTGCTTGGAAAAGGCGGAGAGGTGGTCAGTGTATGACATTGTGTCGTGGTATGAAAGAAAGCTGCAAAAGGTTGGCTTCTGTTAGTCCTTCACCCGTCGGTCTACTCCGGGTGACCGTGAGTTTGACCACAAACGACGACTGTTACGTAATGAAGTCGGGCAAAGCTTGCGTAAGGACCGAGAAGCCTGGTGGTCGGAGCGTGCTAATGAGCTGGAAGCAGCAGCTGCATCTGGTAACTACCCGAAGCTCTTTCAACTCATCCGAGCCACTGGCAACAAGAAGTCTGATGTGAGCGAAGCAATCTGTGAGGATGACGGGTGCCAGTCACTGACATCCGTCGACGTCCTGGACGATGGGGGCGGAAATCCGCAAGGGACTCAAACTCTTGAAGCGCTACAAATCACCGGGCCCAGATGACTTACCTCCGGCTCTTTTTAAAGATGGTGGTGACTTCCCGATTAAGGAACTTGTTATATCTTGTCACCGCCAATTAGGGAGCAGTGAATTACCGATCGTATCAATGACACGTAAACCCGTATGAGCAGTCTAGAGTCCTTACTGATCCCGCTTCCTGTCTAGCCCAGCCAGTTAATTCCAGAACACCGATCCGAGCCTCTGCTATATGAATCATTATATTTCAAACATACTGAGTTTATATACCAATCAAACAGACCACATCGCACCATAAAATAGGAAACAACATTTATATAAGATTTGGCCAAATGTGGCTGTGAACGTGGGAGGTAGTGATTAATAGGCAGGGAATAATTCAAGAATGAAAAATCGTATAATAACAGTTCATAGGTTAAAATGAAGCTTATGATAAGAGGGAGAGATCAATATGAATAGTTTAGTTAATTAACAATTATACGATAAAACTATACGCATTATTTATTTATTTATTTGAACACAAATATTGGTACAAGAATGCGCCACACAAAACAATGAGAATTTGAGGGGAAAGAAAAGAAACAAAGAGAGAATAATAACGAAGAGATTGATGTAAGGTGGTGTAATAATAATAATGGTAAAAATGGGGGAAAGAAAAGGTACAATCAGAAGAAATCTTTCAGTTAAGGAGGACACAACCACTTTTTATGAAGAAAGTAAAAGAAGGTTACAGCAGGATCGCCACTGGCTTCTATTCTGATAACGTCTCTAGCCACTGTGTCGCACCATCTCTCGGACCCCAGCCAGGGAGTCGAGAAGGACCAACAGAAGCCAGGCTGTACAAGGTCGGATTTACAACGCGTCGGTGAGAGTAGTTTTGCTCTGTGTTTGTGAAACCTGGCCTCTCCGAGTTGAGAATGTTAAACAACTATATGTGTTATCATCGTTGTCTCCGAAGGATTGATGACATCCAGTGGCAACACCATGTTAGTAGTGCAGAGGTTCAGCATCGTGTGTTCGGGCACAGAGACGATAAGTCTATTGCTGTCATTATCTTGAAACATCGACTTCGGTGGCTTGGACATGTTCTCCGAATGTCGTCCCAGAGAATTCCACGTCGTGCATTATTTGCCGACTCTAGAACTGCTTGGAAAAGGCGGAGAGGTGGTCAGTGTATGACATTGTGCCGTAGTATGAAAGAAAGCTGCAAAAGGTTGGCTTCTGTTAGTCCTTCACCCGTCGGTCTACTCCGGGTGACCGTGAGTTTGACCACAAACGACGACTGTTACGTAATGAAGTCGGGCAAAGCTTGCGTAAGGACCGAGAAGCCTGGTGGTCGGAGCGTGCTAATGAGCTGGAAGCAGCAGCTGCATCTGGTAACTACCCGAAGCTCTTTCAACTCATCCGAGCCACTGGCAACAAGAAGTCTGATGTGAGCGAAGCAATCTGTGAGGATGACGGGTGCCAGTCACTGACATCCGTCGACGTCCTGGACGATGGGGGGCGGAAATCCGCAAGGGACTCAAACTCTTGAAGCGCTACAAATCACCGGGCCCAGATGACTTACCTCCGGCTCTTTTTAAAGATGGTGGTGACTTCCCGATTAAGGAACTTGTTATATCTTGTCACCGCCAATTAGGGAGCAGTGAATTACCGATCGTATCAATGACACGTAAACCCGTATGAGCAGTCTAGAGTCCTTACTGATCCCGCTTCCTGTCTAGCCCAGCCAGTTAATTCCAGAACACCGATCCGAGCCTCTGCTATATGAATCATTATATTTCAAACATACTGAGTTTATATACCAATCAAACAGACCACATCGCACCATAAAATAGGAAACAACATTTATATAAGATTTGGCCAAATGTGGCTGTGAACGTGGGAGGTAGTGATTAATAGGCAGGGAATAATTCAAGAATGAAAAATCGTATAATAACAGTTCATAGGTGTTGACGGGACATGGACTAGATTAAAGCATGCTCAATGCATGATTGTTTTGTTGCACGCTGATTGGCTAATTCTTATCCAATCAGCACTTGTCGATAGTCGGAGAATATTCTGGAATCTTCTTATGTAAAAACTATAAATATACCGACGTTTTCCCCCATTGTGCTTCCTACTGGCTTCTGACTTGCTATTTGGAATATAATCTCTTTCCTGTTCAACCGTGTTCTGATTTGGGGACTTGTCGAGTGAATCGGTGTCCGAGAATACTAAGCAATAGGAATAGCTGGGTCATTAACCGTAAGTAAGAAGCGAGAGTTATAACAATAGGTTAAAATGAAGCTTATGATAAGAGGGAGAGATCAATATGAATAGTTTAGTTAATTAACAATTATACGATAAAACTATACGCATTATTTATTTATTTATTTGAACACAAATATTGGTACAAGAATGCGCCACACAAAACAATGAGAATTTGAGGGGAAAGAAAAGAAACAAAGAGAGAATAATAACGAAGAGATTGATGTAAGGTGGTGTAATAATAATAATGGTAAAAATGGGGGAAAGAAAAGGTACAATCAGAAGAAATCTTTCAGTTAAGGAGGACACAACCACTTTTTATGAAGAAAGTAAAAGAAGGTTACAGCAGGATCGCCACTGGCTTCTATTCTGATAACGTCTCTGGCCACTGTGTCGCACCATCTCTCGGACCCCAGCCAGGGAGTCGAGAAGGACCAACAGAAGCCAGGCTGTACAAGGTCGGATTTACAACGCGTCGGTGAGAGTAGTTTTGCTCTGTGTTTGTGAAACCTGGCCTCTCCGAGTTGAGAATGTTAAACAACTATATGTGTTATCATCGTTGTCTCCGAAGGATTGATGACATCCAGTGGCAACACCATGTTAGTAGTGCAGAGGTTCAGCATCGTGTGTTCGGGCACAGAGACGATAAGTCTATTGCTGTCATTATCTTGAAACATCGACTTCGGTGGCTTGGACATGTTCTCCGAATGTCGTCCCAGAGAATTCCACGTCGTGCATTATTTGCCGACTCTAGAACTGCTTGGAAAAGGCGGAGAGGTGGTCAGTGTATGACATTGTGTCGTGGTATGAAAGAAAGCTGCAAAAGGTTGGCTTCTGTTAGTCCTTCACCCGTCGGTCTACTCCGGGTGACCGTGAGTTTGACCACAAACGACGACTGTTACGTAATGAAGTCGGGCAAAGCTTGCGTAAGGACCGAGAAGCCTGGTGGTCGGAGCGTGCTAATGAGCTGGAAGCAGCAGCTGCATCTGGTAACTACCCGAAGCTCTTTCAACTCATCCGAGCCACTGGCAACAAGAAGTCTGATGTGAGCGAAGCAATCTGTGAGGATGACGGGTGCCAGTCACTGACATCCGTCGACGTCCTGGACGATGGGGGGCGGAAATCCGCAAGGGACTCAAACTCTTGAAGCGCTACAAATCACCGGGCCCAGATGACTTACCTCCGGCTCTTTTTAAAGATGGTGGTGACTTCCCGATTAAGGAACTTGTTATATCTTGTCACCGCCAATTAGGGAGCAGTGAATTACCGATCGTATCAATGACACGTAAACCCGTATGAGCAGTCTAGAGTCCTTACTGATCCCGCTTCCTGTCTAGCCCAGCCAGTTAATTCCAGAACACCGATCCGAGCCTCTGCTATATGAATCATTATATTTCAAACATACTGAGTTTATATACCAATCAAACAGACCACATCGCACCATAAAATAGGAAACAACATTTATATAAGATTTGGCCAAATGTGGCTGTGAACGTGGGAGGTAGTGATTAATAGGCAGGGAATAATTCAAGAATGAAAAATCGTATAATAACAGTTCATAGGTGTTGGCGGGACATGGACTAGATTAAAGCATGCTCAATGCATGATTGTTTTGGTGCACGCTGATTGGCTAATTCTTATCCAATCAGCACTTGTCGATAGTCGGAGAATATTCTGGAATCTTCTTATGTAAAAACTATAAATATACCGACGTTTTCCCCCATTGTGCTTCCTACTGGCTTCTGACTTGCTATTTGGAATATAATCTCTTTCCTGTTCAACCGTGTTCTGATTTGGGGACTTGTCGAGTGAATCGGTGTCCGAGAATACTAAGCAATAGGAATAGCTGGGTCATTAACCGTAAGTAAGAAGCGAGAGTTATAACAATAGGTTAAAATGAAGCTTATGATAAGAGGGAGAGATCAATATGAATAGTTTAGTTAATTAACAATTATACGATAAAACTATACGCATTATTTATTTATTTATTTGAACACAAATATTGGTACAAGAATGCGCCACACAAAACAATGAGAATTTGAGGGGAAAGAAAAGAAACAAAGAGAGAATAATAACGAAGAGATTGATGTAAGGTGGTGTAATAATAATAATGGTAAAAATGGGGGAAAGAAAAGGTACAATCAGAAGAAATCTTTCAGTTAAGGAGGACACAACCACTTTTTATGAAGAAAGTAAAAGAAGGTTACAGCAGGATCGCCACTGGCTTCTATTCTGATAACGTCTCTAGCCACTGTGTCGCACCATCTCTCGGACCCCAGCCAGGGAGTCGAGAAGGACCAACAGAAGCCAGGCTGTACAAGGTCGGATTTACAACGCGTCGGTGAGAGTAGTTTTGCTCTGTGTTTGTGAAACCTGGCCTCTCCGAGTTGAGAATGTTAAACAACTATATGTGTTATCATCGTTGTCTCCGAAGGATTGATGACATCCAGTGGCAACACCATGTTAGTAGTGCAGAGGTTCAGCATCGTGTGTTCGGGCACAGAGACGATAAGTCTATTGCTGTCATTATCTTGAAACATCGACTTCGGTGGCTTGGACATGTTCTCCGAATGTCGTCCCAGAGAATTCCACGTCGTGCATTATTTGCCGACTCTAGAACTGCTTGGAAAAGGCGGAGAGGTGGTCAGTGTATGACATTGTGTCGTGGTATGAAAGAAAGCTGCAAAAGGTTGGCTTCTGTTAGTCCTTCTGGACTCCCTGGCTGGGGTTCGAGAGATAGTGCAGCATAATGTGTAGGGACGTTATCAGATATGAATCAGATTAGAAGAGAGGCTATCCTGCTGTGACCTTCCTTTACTTTCTTCATAAAAAGTGGTTGTAACTTTCTTAACTGAAAGAATCCTTCTGGTTGTACCTTTGCGTTTCCCCCACTATTATTATTATTAATATTACACTACCATACACTAATCTGTAGTCGTTATTGTTCTTTTTTTCTTACACGCACCTTACATTATTTTTCTCTTCCCATACTCATTGTTTTGTGTTGCTCATATATATCTGGTGCCCCCTTGTACCAATATTTGTGTTCCAACAAACAAATAAATAATGTGCCTAGATACGAACTACACATTCAAGTCTCCGGCTCGCATTACCGAATGCGATTTCATGAGATCACATTACTGGTGGTGGAACTCATCTTCGGTTTCATCCGAGCTACAATCTGTCAGTGTGTAGGCAGAGATTACGGAAAGACATTTCAGACTTGACACCAGAGCAAAGACCAATCAATTATTTTAAAATAAACAGATGTAACAGATACAGCAAAACCAACAGTTTTGGAAATGTGTGGGAAAAGGGGATTTATTCGAAATATACATTATTTAGATTAAGCTAAGTGTTCTACCTATGGGTAGAGTAAAATCATGCTGTTCAAAGCGGGGATAAAACGGCAAGAACTGACGGGTTACATAAGTATGACAACCAGTTAGAGGGTAAACTTAATTAATACATTGTAGACATCACGACTATAACTTCTATCTTGAGGTGATGGTCAAGCTCTATATCTTAATGATCCAACAGAGCTACATTGGCTGGAACAATTTTTCCTTTAGTTTCTACTATGCCAGGTAAATCAATTGAAAAACAGTAGGCCTAAAAACAGCAACATAAGACCCGAGGGCATGGTCATACTTCGAAATGTACAGAGGCGTAACGGCAATAAGGTTTGGGCAACGAGTAAATGACAACTACCCTCACTAACAGTACGCGTGACAATGTACGTTATGTCATTTTCAATAAACCCACAACTCACAGTCAGGAGTGAGAATATTCTGCATTTGCTTTCCTCATTAGGGACGAGAAAGATCCGGAATTTTCATGTACTTTTGAAGAATTTTAAGAAATATGTTACTAAAGATAGCTGGTTACTTAATTTATGCAAATTTATTATGGAACGTTATGTTAACAAAACTAACTTGTGGTGTCGAGGTGGTCACTTACCTTTGTAGCTGCAAGAACAATTGTAGTTATCTGAGACCTATCACCCCATTCTGCAAAAAATGTGAGCACAAAAGCTTCCACAAAGATTGGAGTAAATATGTTTCTTGTGATTGTAAGTAATTTGGAGGGAAATCCCTGGGGAGAGTCTGGAGTTGAACAACCAGTTTCTATATCATCTGCTCTAGACTGTGTGAGTTGCATATGAACTTCATCGAACTCTTCTTTGGCTGTACTGGAAGACATAGTATATGCTAAGCACTTATGAAGCTTGTCGAACGTTACCTTCGTAGAGCATTTTCAGGCCGAATATAAAAAATAAAGCACCGGATAAATACAAAGTTACAAATCGCGGGATGATTGTTGTTGCGTAACCAAGTAACGCTGTAAGAAAACAGTTAGGAATAGATATCGCTACCCGACAACATTGTCATGGTGATAAGAGCGAGCATCGCTCCACAATAAACTAAAGCTCGTGGATGTTGCATAGACATAATAGCAGCGATGAAAAATGTCTTATCACCAATTTCAGATATTATAATAACGTATTACCATTAATCTATTTTCATGAGTTCTAATCACTATTTCAATGTTCTGGAACTTTCCCTTTCTAACTTTATTTATTTATTCGAATCAAACATTTTATGAGCTCATTAACTCTATCTGAATCTTTGCTTGCTACATCATCATACATATGTATTGATCCTTAATCACACTCTTATGTATAAATATGTCAATATCTGTAATAATGTTGAATTTTAAATATTTTAGGTTGTAAGCAGCTGATAAGAACCTAACGAAATAAAATGAATTCATATTATTCTGCACCAATCTTTGTTCTTGCTCTATTTAAGATAATAAAGGGAACTATGTGTATGAAATTTCTCAAAATGCGTCTCCCTGCACAGTCATTCAAGTCACTGAATCGCCTGGTGACAATACGCTGCAGAATATCGAGAGAAATAACTCGACTAAAGTTTTTTGATGAATGTCTTAAGTCATGCCGTTTCCCACGTCAGTTCCTAAAGTCTTTACGCTCATTTAAACTTCCGCCTTCTCTTAAAAATCTTCGACGCATCACAAAATCTCACATTGAATCAACAAAGTTACTGATTGAACGTTTGAGGGCAGAAACTAATGCCTTTGATGATTTAATCAACAATCTAAGTATCGTATGTCGCATAAAATTTATCAACTTTATACAAGATCTGCAAAGCAAAATATGCAAGAATTTCCACGTAACTTTGTCAAAGACGCTGTCAAAGGAACAATTATGTTTTGGCTTTCCGGAAAACCCCGAAAAGTTTCTCTATAATCTATCAACAATGAAGTTAAATCAGATAGAAACAGAAGCCTTGTCACTTGGATTTAAATTTCATATCCCCAAAACACATGCCGACAGAATCGACACAGAAACTCAATTTGAGAATTTATTTGATCAAATTAAAGAGTTGCACCCAGTTAGTGAAGAAAAGAAAGGCTGGTTTAAATCTAAATTAGTCGATATTGCAAACCAATATCTTGTTTCACCCGCACCACAGTCTAAGCTTTTATCCAAAGACCACCAAACAGCATTACGAAATATTAAACGAAATGACGATATAATGATATTACGGTCAGACAAAGGCTCAAGTGTTGTTCTAATGAACAAAACAGATTATGTTTTTAAGATGAAGTCCATCTTGAATGACCATATGAGATTCAAGTTAGAGAAAAGTAACAAAGACTTAACTGATTCCATTGAGAAAAGAATCACCAAAGTACTCAGAGATCTTCTGAAAAAGAAGATGATCGATAACTCTACTTACAATAATCTACGACCTCGTGGGTCTCGTTTGCCCCACATGTATGGATTACCAAAAATACATAAACAAGGTTATCCTCTTAGACCTATCTTGTCAATGATCGATTCACCATACCACAAAGTTGCACGATGGTTAGCAGATAAGTTAGAACCAGTGCGTCAACGATTAGCCACCTATACGCTAAAGGATTCATTTGTATTTGCTGACAGCATGAATCACATAAATATTGCTGATAAGTTTATGGTTTCTTTTGATGTAACATCTTTGTTTACAAAAATACCACTTCTTGAGACCATAGACATAATTTGTCAACATTCTGACATCCTACCTCTACCAGTACCAGAATTCAAACGACTATTACTCATTTGTACAAAAGATGTTCAATTCCAGTTCAACGATATCATATACAAACAAACCGATGGTGTAGCGATGGGAAGTCCGTTAGGTCCTGTCCTAGCAGATATTTTCATGGCTAACCTCGAAAGAACCAAACTCAAACGAGCGATTGATGAAATGACGTATTATTCGAGGTATGTTGATGATACCTTCATCGTATGTAATAATAAACAACAAGCAATAAATCTGCTAGAGTTTTTCAACGAAGCACATCCGAATATCCATTTCACTATGGAACATGAAAAAGAAAACAAGTTCCATTTTCTCGATATCGCGATGAAAAGAAGAAAAGATGGTACAGTTCAACGTTCAGTTTATAAGAAAGACACATGGAATGGTAGTTATCTTAATTTCAATAGCTTTTGTCCAATCAGTTACAAAAAGGCACTGGTCAAAACACTGTTTTACAGAACAGAAAGAATATGTACTTCCGATACACTAGAAGAGGAAGTTATGAATGTTAAAAAATGTTTAAAGAATAACGGATACCCACTGAAATTTATTGAGAAATACGGCAAATGTGAAGATAAAAAACTGAAAGAAATTACAGCAAATAAAAAGCCTATTTTTATTAAACTTCAATTCAAAGGTGACGATGTCACAGGATCAATCAATATGAGACTAAAAACTGCACTGACAAGAACCTATCCTGCAGCGAAATTGATTGTCCTGTCCAAAACAACATGTTCTTTGACACAATCAAAGGTCGACAGGTATCCCTTTCATGTTACCACCAACTGTGTATACAAATTTACATGTACCTGCCAAAGCAGTTACATTGGTAGAACAGAAAGGAGAGCCTACGTCCGATTCAAAGAACATATTCCGAAAAGTTTAAGATTGAATGGATTGAACTCATTCAACAGTGCTATCGCAAGACATCTCCTTGATACAGGACATAAAGCTGATATACTGAAGTCCTTCAAGGTGATTAACAAACAATCAAACTCGAACCTTTTGAAATTCGCTGAAGCGTTAGCAATCAAACGTTTAAAACCAGATCTATGTATACAAAAAGAGACGGTAATAAATCTTTCTTTACCCTGGTAACAATAACCCTCACTCTTTCTATTAATTTGCTCCTATTTATTTATTTATTACGTCATTATTGCAACTCTTTCTGAAATATAAATTACATCATACATAACTGATTGATTTCAATTCATATTTTCTTTATTACCATTAATCTATTTTCATGAGTTCTAATCACTATTTCAATGTTCTGGAACTTTCCCTTTCTAACTTTATTTATTTATTCGAATCAAACATTTTATGAGCTCATTAACTCTATCTGAATCTTTGCTTGCTACATCATCATACATATGTATTGATCCTTAATCACACTCTTATGTATAAATATGTCAATATCTGTAATAATGTTGAATTTTAAATATTTTAGGTTGTAAGCAGCTGATGAGAACCTAACGAAATAAAATGAATTCATATTATTCTGCACCAATCTTTGTTCTTGCTCTATTTAAAATGAATTAACTTCCTTGGTCGATTTGATTTGATCATCTTTTATGACTGGAAGTTTTGATGTTCCATGTGGAGGTATCTCTAGGCAGCTGACCCCACTCCATAGAGTAATGAGAAGGATACATTCTATTAGAAACACCATCAGAATAGCTGTAACGCAACAGCAGAATTGCGCGCAATATTTTGCACTCAGTTATAAGAATAGTCTTTAGTAATAAGAATAGTAGTTTGATGTACCCGTGTTAATCCTGACAATGTTTCTTCTAGTGAGGGTCCAACTTCCACCTGAAAATGTTCACTGATGGGGTTGACATCAAATGTTCGTGCAAGGCGTCCCAGTCACTAACCACCAAGCAGCGGCTGTGCTGCAATGCGCAGTTGTTTTCAAGCCGTGACTCATTATTACTTCCAAGTCATTCTGTTCTTTAGATTTTGACGTCATCCACAAACATTAATGTCGACGACCAAAGCAATAGAGGTAATTCATTGACGTAGAGGAAATGTAAGGGACCTAAGGTGGTGCCTTGGAGTACATCATTTTCGAACAACGTCCATTCAGATAGTGTTCCATTAGCCCACACTCTCTTTCTCTCTCTGCGGTCACACGAGACGTTTTCTATCCACTCCTGTACAACACCTGTTATGCCGAAGCTCGATAGCTTCTGCATAAGCCCTAAGCGTGAAACATTGTTAAACGTTTTGCTATAGTCTATAGATATCACATCGACAGACAGTCCGTTTTCCGGGGATGCTGTCCAATCCTCTCTCGCAATAAGTTGGTCGAGCATGAATTCTCGTTTCGAAACCAAGAGTTAACAGATTGTACTAACCTATGCAACTTAATAACTTGACCCGAACTATCTTTTCAAGTAACTTAACGACTATGCTGCTTAAACTGACAGGTAGGTAGTTAGATACGGTCTGTCTCGAAATATCTTTAAATATGGGGCTGACTATAGCATCTTTCCAATCTCTAGGGTGTTGGGCGGGTGAAAGTAAAATGTCGAAGAGCGTCGCGAGTGGTCCTGAAGAGAGGACAGCATTCGTGGATGTAGCCATCAAGGCCTGGTTTGAGGTTCGTGATCAACAATAGAAAAGTTTCCTCAACAACATGTACAGGTCTTGGAGTTGGTATCTCCGTGTGACTATGTACACACCATGAGGAACCTCTTCTCACTTATCACAATGCATTCCCTCTTCCACAAGGAATAAGCAATATGGCTGTCGAGATTTGTAAGCAGAACAGACCATCCTAAAAGTTAACCAAAAATGGTAACCCAAAGTGAATATGTAAAAACATTTCAAGCCTTAAGAGTATAAATCAAGTCAAAGTCGACCAAGTATTCTTTGATGCAAAAATATATATATAAGCAAAGTCAATGCACTCAAGTACAATATCACTTCAGCTTAAATAAATTCAATTAAAATGGAAACAGTGATTTTGATGCGTAATTTACGTACAAAATAGTAAATTTAACCCAACGAGTAATAATACCGCTGTCTTTTTTTTAAATAGCGCGCAAAGACGTCCTGTTAAATTATGTTGATCTGGTAGCAAAGTTTCTCAAGAACATCCAGTTTCTCCTTGGAAGCATTAACCAAAAGGGGTGACTTCAAGAATTCATCAAAGTCATTCCAGTCATTCACCACTCGACTGGATAGCGAAATCTCGACCAAAGTCCATACGATAGTACTTTTTGACCATTTTATGATCGTCGAAGATCAGCACTTCTAGAAAGAGCAAACCAGTAGAACATGTTTCCGTTCTACACGTTATCTAAGATACGGAACGCTAGTACGAGATTGTCTCCCAGTCTATAATAAGGATGAGGAAGAACTTCAACCTCTCCTCATTTGAGTTTTGAAACTTCTGTTAGTATATTATTGTCTAACCACCAAAAACCTCAAACGGAATGTTCCACAATAAGTGGAAAAAGTTAAGCGCTCCGTAAACAGTCTTCGCAATACGTTGATATCCAAAACCCACATCATCGAGACATTTAAAGGCTCTGTGGAACCGATATATCTGGAGAGATCCTAAGCATCCTCTGTATTGTAATGTGCAGTTTTCTTTCAGAAATGACCTACGATAATTCTTGAATTCTTAGGCGATTGGTGGTTGTAAAAACCCAACAATTTTCAGTCTTAACAAAATAACTTCGTAGTGTTTAACTTGTCCTACAGACATTCCACTGCAAACGTAAACTTGATACTGACGACTCAGAGTCTATATGAAAGCAGTCATCAGAACAAGGACAACTTGGCTCCAACCTTTATCTGTTTCTAAACGTAAAAACGAACAACTCGATTAGTACAAATAATTAAGGGATTTGTAGTTATTAAGTAAAACGCATAAACATGCTGACCAATATTTTGTGTCTTATTGAGGTGAATAAAACAAGCATGAGTTTTGGTCTCACTAATATGATAAGGAATACTGTCCTTGAATTGGCAGGTCACATGTAACAGGGATAGTCTTCAGAGACATTAGACGGGGTTGACGTGGTGGGCGTTTAAGCAGCGATTTGATTGTTTTGCTGTGGACATAAGTAAAAGGTTGTTCGCAAGGAGGTAGTTGCAATCTCTGCAGATGTTGAGGAACTGTTCATGCAAGTGAAGGTTCCTGAGTTTGATTGAGGAGCTTTAAGATTTCTGTGGTGGCTGGAGGGAGACACGTCGATGGAACTATCCGAATTTCAAATTACCTCTCAACCATTTGGTGCCACATCATCGCCGTTTTGTGCAAACTTTGCCATGAATAAGACAGCCCAAACATTCTCTGATGGTTATGATCGTTATGTCGTAGATGCTGTCAAGAACAATTTCTATGTTGATGATTGCTTGGTATCCTTCCCTACTTGTGACCAGGCGAATAAGTTCATTAAGCAAGTAAGTGAATTATTGCGTATAGGAGGTTTTTAATTAAAGAAATGGATTACAAACTCGGAAAAAGTAAGGACCATCTTGCGTGATGTATGTAACGAAGTGTCTTTGATAGAAATGTCACTCATCGGACCCTAGGTGTAGAATGGGGTTTCAAACAAGATGTATTTAAGTTTTATTATGATGCGCCAGAAAATACTTTGACTAGCAGGGGAATTCTATCTGTTGTTTCTTCTCTGTTCGATCCGTTGGATCCAATTGCTGCGGTCTGTCTTAATGCCAACCTCTCTTTCAACAATTATTTAAGTTTAAAAATCCCCATAGAATATTCAAAAACAAAGAATATTTGAGCGAACAATTGTTTTCAATAACTTCATCATCAGGCTCTACAGTTATAGGTCCATAATTATAATATTTTACAAAGGCCAAAAATAAGGCATGTTTTAATGAGTTTGACAATGTTGTGTTAAAAAATTGGTGAGCGTTTGCATCTGTTACGATATATATATACTTCAAAAAATTGTAATATTTGCAAATTAGAAAGGTCATTCAATAAAGGTCAGTAAATTGTTCAGTCACAATAAGATAATATAATAGTACTATTGCAAAATTGAAAATAATTTTGTCAACTGAGATAATAATAATATGTAATAAGAGGGGTGTTATCAAGGTAATTCCGGTCAACAAATTGGGAATGATGGATATGAAGATTAAGATATAGATAATGACAAATAATGGTAATAAGGAAAATAAATGAAATGAAGGAAGGAAGGGGTAAGAGGTTTATAATATTCAGTCTAGGTATTTGGTGATCCAGTCGTAGGCCAGGGTAAACATAGAGGCTGGATATATTTTTTCTGGATACATAAATTAGGTCTTCTGGAGTTGATCCAGATGGCTTCGGCTGTGTAAAGTAGTCGTAATCTAGCTCCTTGAGGTAGATATTTTGGAACTTGATATAAAACAGAGAAAGCTTCCTCTATTTTAATATGATGTTCACTATCTACCAAGTGAGAAAGAATGGTGCTGTTAATCGATTTGGTGACTCCTTTTCCCAACCATGCTGGTACATGTTCACGAACACGCAAGGATAAAGCCCTCTGAGTACGGCCTATGTAACTAGCTCCACAGGAGCAGTTGAATTGGTATACACACATGGAGGAGCCCATCTTCGGTAACTTATCCTTGATTAGTTGTGTGAGTACTGGCTTAGTCGAGAAAGTTATGTGTAACTTGGCGGCATGAAACGTCCTTTCGACAGATCTTTTGAGTCGACGTGTTAGAATATCACCCGCTATGTCGCCTTTAAAGTCAAGTTTCAGATATAAGGTCTTTTTACTGACCGTGTCGCAATGTCTTCTCTTTTTAATACTTTGTACGAGGTATTTTTTGACGAAATTATCCGGATAGCCATTATTACGTAATGTGTTCTTTAGTATAACTATTTCTTCCTCCACACTGTCTTCAGAACATAATACCTTGATTCTGTGGTTGAGGCACTTAACCAAATTTACTTTATATTGCAGAGGTGTGAAGCTTTGGAAATGGGTATACTGACCCATCCATGTACACTTTCTAAACATATTTCGCTTTATGGAACCATCTATCCTTCTAGAGAGTCGGACATCTAGAAAAGCTATGCTATTGTCCTTTTCCTCCTCGCTGGTGAATTTAATGGCTGGGTGGACATTATTGAAAGCGTCTAAGTACGGCCTATGTAATAATGTACTCAGAGGGCTTTATCCTTGCGTGTTCGTGAACATGTACCAGCATGGTTGGGAAAAGGAGTCACCAAATCGATTAACAGCACCATTCTTTCTCACTTGGTAGATAGTGAACATCATATTAAAATAGAGGAAGCTTTCTCTGTTTTATATCAAGTTCCAAAATATCTACCTCAAGGAGCTAGATTACGACTACTTTACACAGCCGAAGCCATCTGGATCAACTCCAGAAGACCTAATTTATGTATCCAGAAAAAATATATCCAGCCTCTATGTTTACCCTGGCCTACGACTGGATCACCAAATACCTAGACTGAATATTATAAACCTCTTACCCCTTCCTTCCTTCATTTCATTTATTTTCCTTATTACCATTATTTGTCATTATCTATATCTTAATCTTCATATCCATCATTCCCAATTTGTTGACCGGAATTACCTTGATAACACCCCTCTTATTACATATTATTATTATCTCAGTTGACAAAATTATTTTCAATTTTGCAATAGTACTATTATATTATCTTATTGTGACTGAACAATTTACTGACCTTTATTGAATGACCTTTCTAATTTGCAA